ATTATAAGACTTTCGGAATTAGAAGGGACTTCCCAGGATCATCTAGTCTTGCCTAACTCTCTCCTTCACAAATAAGGAATAAGAAATCAGGGAAGTTTAGTTATATACCTTCAACCACATGGCTAAGTAAGGGGTACATCTGGGAGCACAACTAGGGAATTCTAAATACATATAAATGGTGTTCTTTTCATTACAAGTTTATCTGACAGAGAGACAGAAAAAAGTGCATGTGCCCATTAGCAGGGAAGGGACAGAGAGAGACGGAGAGAGAGAAGGAGAGAGAGAGATTGAGAGAGAGAGAGACTGAGAGACAGAGAGAGAGAGAGAGAGAGAGAGAGAGAGAGAGAGAGAGAGAGAGAGAGAGAGAGAGAGAGAGAGAGAGAGAGAGAAAGAATCCCAAGCAGGCTCCACACTATCTGTACAAAACCCAACTTGGGGCTCAATCCCATGAACTGAGAGATCATGACCTGAGCTTAAATCAAGAGTCCGATGCTTAACCAACTGAGCTGCCCAAGCACTTTTCCCATTAAAGGTTTTTATTTAAATTTTTGTATTTTTATCTGTTCATTTCATCTATATGAAATAAAATAAATTATTGTTTTTGATTATTGTTTTACCTAAAATCCTGAGCCCTCTTTTTTTATTCTAGCCACCACACAAAGATACACTGTATCTTCTACTGCAAAGCAAAATAAATTCAAGCTTTGGTTTGCTGCAGGTAATGAGAAAAGGAATACCTTGGTTATAAACCCTGACCCTCAGTCTACAAACATATTTAAGATTATCAACTTTCTAAGACAAAAGAGTAAATGATAATGTTATTATTGAATTGATGGTATATAATGAATCACCATCTTAATGATACAATATATTCTTTTTATACCATTTCTATAGATGATTTATGGTCAACATCATTTACAACCAAACTGAGACATGAAATCCACTGTATTATCAATATTAAATAACCACTACCATCTACCTCCTCACCATGTAAGTTCCATGAGAGTTAGTATTAGTTTTTCATTCTATAATTTTTATCTGGCTTGCAGTTGGCTCTCAAGAAAAATATGTTGATAAATGAATGAATAAATTAATAAGCTTTCTAAAAGGAAAACTAATCCAAACAGTGGATCTAAAAATGTATTAACTTCCCAAAAAGTAAACAAAGGAGATCTATTCCAGAGGATTCACTTGGCCACCAAAGTTAACTGAAGAAACAAATGAGTCTTAATAGTACAATTACAGTATTCTTTTCAACAAAGTACTTGCTCCTTTTCCATTTTGCCCTTTCCCTGAAATCTCTCAACAGGTTACTCTTTGTTTCCCTAGATTCCTTATGCATAAGAAACTTCTACAACAACTCCTCTGTTCATTTTTCTAGAAACACCAAGCAAATGTTCAAAGAGATCAAATCAAGTTCACTATCGTAAGATCATAAAAAGGCCATCAGCAAATATACACATTAGGCTCTTATAAGTTAGTATTAGTATTACTTTATAAAATGAACGCAAAAACAATCCCAATAATTCACCATGCTTTTCAGTATTTTCATTTTCTTTGGATGCAGCTGCTCTCCAACTCATTTCAAAATATAAAATCTCACATTTACCAAAATAGCAGCTTCTAGCAATCTTACATTGATTAAATCAAAACATTCCTTTTATTGCTGCTATATTCAATATTATTTTCTACACTGTTTCTCTAAAATCTAGGTAAAAAGTACTAAAGCAATAGTATGTTAATTCAAATATTGAGGCTGAAGGAACTTGCTCACCTAATCCGTTCTTTTCTTCACATTTTTAATATGTTTACAATTTAACACTTCAAATGTCTATGCTAAGTTCAAAGTTACCAAATTAAAACTGCAAACTCATTTATATCCTTTTCCTACTTATTATTTAAACATTGGAACTAAAGCATTTTAAAACTATTTTACTTATCAAGTCAAAACTAATATTTTATGAAGTATCACCATTTAGCTTATGTATCATAGACAATACAAAGCACCAGCCTATTATATAAATGCACCTGGTTCTCTCCATACAGTTTTTCTTTAAATTCACTAAAGTGAAATATCTAACTCAAAAACTACAAGAAAAGTATGGATTTAATAAACAGATGAACTTACTGAAAAAATCTTTAAAGACGTTTAACCAATCCATTTTGAATAAAAATCCCGTGTTCTCTTTTGTCAGTCTGTTAACACAGCTCAGGATAATTTCAGTGAGCTTCCTGGTCTGTTCTGCAACACTGAAACTCCCCACACCCAATCCATGTGACTTGGCCCACACCCAGGGAATAGAAAGCCTTTCTGAGGCTTCTCTCCTTCCAAAACTCTTTCCCCTCTGAACTAAAACAGAACCTGTAAAACAAGTATATCATCATGGCCACAAATGTTACCTTATTATTCAGCCTTATTTTGGAAGAAGCTTTAAAGCATGTATTTTCAGTAGTTGAAAATATATTCATGCATTCACGCTTTCCTTTGTTTTCTCCTTTTCTTTCTTAACTTTCAAACAAAGTCTCCACCAGCATAATCATTGTCAAACAAAACCATTAACTACATGGGACATTTAAGTTACCAAAAAGGGGGTTAGAAATACAAAGAGAAGGCAATCTGATACAAAAGGTGAATATACATCATTATATAGGAGAACTAAAAATCATTACAATAAAACAAATGCTTTCAAGTACCCTGCAATATAGGCAGCAATAAATGTAATATAGTAATGAAGTTAACAGAGATATCCTAGAACTTAAAGTCTTGCCAAAATTATCTTAATAATATCAGAAAATAGTATACAAGGTTTCCCAGGAGTGTTAACAAATAATAAAAATTCTATCTAGTTAGGCTTTTTATATACATATATAAAACTGGGTTTTTTTTAATGTCTATTTATTGAGAGAGAGAGAGCATGAGCAGGGAAGGGGCAGAGAGAGAGAAGAGAGAGAATCCCATGCAAGCTCCACACTGTCAGCACAGAGCCCCATGTAGGACTGGAACTCATGTCCTGATCATGATCTGAACTGAAATCAAGAATCGGACACTCAACAGACTGAGCCACCCAGGTGCCCCTATCTAGTTGGGCTTTATAAATTTGTATGCAATAGTATCTAAAGGTGGGATATTTTTCTTCTTTGCTCTATGATATTAAGGTTTTTCGCAATCTTTTGTTTACACATTTGCTCTAGTCCCAGGACACCAGTATCCTTTAAAAAGGAACAAAAAAGTCTATCTAGGTGTAGCCCTAGTCCTTTCTGTGTCTTCATCACTATGAGGCATACTTTCTTGATAGAAGTTACCTTAATTTTCCCCAATACTTCTGATCTACATGCTTTAAGTAAGTGTCCAATATTTACAAAATCAGAAGTATTCCTGATTCTAACTCTGGTGTCTTCAGCTAGTCAAGGAAAGTCTTCTGATTTGTCTTCCACTTAAAAAACGAATACTAAAAACTAGTAAGGGTGCCTGGGTGGCTCAGTCAGTTGAGTGTCCGACTCTTGATTTCTGCTCAAGTCATGATCTCATGGTTCCTGAGTTCCAGCCCCACATGGGGCTCTGCACATGGGATCAAGCCCTGTACTGGGCTCTGCACAGAGTGTGGAGCCTGCTTGAGACTG